GAGGCTATTTCTTGAGCAACTGTGAATATCACCTGCATTTATTCATTTTGAAATAAAGTGGAATTGGAATGTTTGCCCTTTCATTTTCCCACAATTACACCCCCTTCTCCCCCCTCCCCCACCCCCACGCTTTCTGCTTGGACTACGGTGGAGGCTGTCAGTTGTGGGAGGGCATCCTAGTTTCAGGCTGGAACTAGGGGCCCAGGACTCCTGATGGGACGGAAAGACCACAGGCACCTGAGAGTTCACTAGTAAGCCTGTTGAAGCGATGGGTCGTCTCTGTGGCCATATTGAGCATTTCAATTTCACAGAGGCCTTTCCCTTTGTTTAGTGAAATACGCATTTAACTTAGTGCATAGATGACCCAAACCAACTAGATACAACAAAACCGCATTTGTGGATTTTCAGATTGGAACAGCAATCTAATCTGTCGCATTAAATGGAGGCGGAGGGTGTGGTTACCTGGGTGGGCAAAGGAGAACACATGGCTATTCTATACTCCTATTTTCTGCCCTCCCTGATTTTAGTATATCAAGTAGGTGATGCTTTCATGCTATTTCCCCTCCCCCCCCCAAATACATTATAGTTATTAGCATTAGGCTTATTATACAGTTACACGATAGGGATTTTTTTAAATAAATAAATAGTTTCCATGGAAATGACCAGGGTTAAATATGAAATACTAAAATGCAACTTTTCCTTCTCTTGGACCTGTATCAGTGAGCATCGTTTCACTATCCATAAGCCGTATTTATGTTACCCTGAGAGCACACCTACATATTATAAACGAAGTGGAGGTTTGGCAGTTATGCAGTTAAATCAAATCAGAATGTTGACACTAAAACTTACTTTGAGATTTGAATTTCCTGTGAGTCTTATTAATGCTTTCAGAATTTTTATTTTGCTTAGTGGACAGGTATATGGGACATATCAAGAGCAGGATTTTAAACAATGTAACAAGTATAGGATTATTTTTAAGCCACTTTCTTTGTAAATTTATGAAAATGATGTTTTCTCATGTGTAAGTTAAAAATCCCCATTTTTTTTCTGGTGGATATGCTATGACAATGAATATATTTAGGATTTTGAGAGCACAATAAAATATGGCTATATGGTTAAACAGTTTTATGCATTTTAACCAGATTTAGAATGTACCCTACCCATTATCAATTTAGATTACTGTTAAATACAGAAATGGAAATTTTTATGTCATAGAGAAATATATCAAATTTTTTTAAAAATTAGATTATCAAGTTATTTGCTTGTATTGGCTATGTTTTCCCCAGAGAAAGTAAAAATATCTAAAAATATACAAATTACACTGATGTGAAAACTTAATTCTGCCAAACCACTAAGAATACTGTTACATTCTACTTTGAAAAACTATTAATTTTAAATTAAACATCAATATTTTAATGCCCTAATGTATCTCTAAATTGCTTTAAACAGTGTTCTTAATCTATTCAAATGTTGACAATTTAAATTATTCAAATACCTTCTTATGATAAAATGAAACAAATCAAACTTTTTCTAAATATCATTATTATCAATTTCAGAGAGGAAGGGAGAAGGAGTGAAATAGAAACATCAATGATTAGAAACATCATTGATGAGAATCATCAGCTGCATCCTGCACGCCCCCTACTGGGGATCACCGGGTCAGGTGCCCTAATGGGGAATCTAACCCTGACCTACTAATTCATAGGTTGATGTTCAACCACTAAGCCACACCAGGATCTCTCCTTTTTAAAAAAAAAATAAAATAAAATTATCTCAAGGATTATGTGCTCTTGAAAGGGAAATACTATTAGTTAAACTAGCCTTTACAACCCAGGTGTTCATTTTGATTCTTTTTTTCCCAGACATACTTTTTGGTGGAACCCATCTTGTCTCGGGTACAGTTTAATATCTGAACCAGAGAACATAGTTCAGGGCACTGAAGCAGGTCATTGGTTTCCAACCCAGGTAGTCCCCCTGAGGGATCATTACTCAGAGCTCCCCGGAAGAACATTGGCCTATCCAAACAGATTCTCACTGCCTGGGGGCAGGGGAGCAGTTGGAGGAATTTAATCTTAAAATGCTCCCTGGGAGATTCTGTTTCCTTTCTCCAGACCTCACCCTCATCTCTAAGGAGGATCACTAGTCAGTGGTGCAAGATGTTTTCAGTTTCAACTTCTTAGGAAAAACTGAATTTATGGAAAAAACTTGTTTTGTCTCATTAAGTACCATACTCCTCTATCTTCATTTTTGGTCTCTGAGAAACTGTCTACATTGATGTTTACAAAATTTACATCATACTTTTTTGATTTAGTAGGAAATGGCCATCCATTCTTCATGAGAAAGGATGCCAAACATTTAATGGCAAATAAAATCCCAAGTAACAGATTCCAGACAGAAAGTTCTAAGTGGATAAGAGCCAAAAAATGCTTCATTGTAAACTCAGCATTTACTTACACTCCCAACAATGTAACCATTTCCCAAGAACTTTAAATTCCCCTTTTTAAGAAAAAGATAAATGGTCTAGAAATGGAGGGTAGATAGTGAAAGGTCTGATAGTAAATATTTTAGGTGCTGGAGGCCAAGAGTCAATATTGAGGGTATTATGTAGGTGTCTATATAACTATTAAGATGTAACCATTTAAAAATGTAAAAAATACTCCTTGCTCTTGGACCAGACAAAAACAGGTAGTGGGCTGAATTTGACCAACTGACTATAGTTTGTCCACCTCTGAGCTAGACCATAAGTACATGTTAAAAAAGCAAAAGAGATCTCTGAATCTACTTCAAGTCTTTTGTTGGTTTCCTTTCAGTTTTCAGATAGTCCTTTTTGGAAGTCATGGTTTCTAAGGGAAGAGAAAAACCAATCTTTATTTCAGAAAAAAAACACAAAAAACCACAAAGTCAAGATATACATATTAGAACAGTACCTACATACTTTATATAATCAGTTATGTTACCCTTTCATTAGTCCTGGCAAAACTAATCATTGGATCAAATTACTGGATTTGATTTTTGTTTTTTTAACGTCATTGGAACGTAAAGATGGATTCAAATAAGAAAAAAAAATCTAAGATGATTAAATGTCTATTAAGAACAAATAAACACACCTTTGTAAAAAAGCTTATATATCTAATTTACCTATAGTAAGGCAGGCATTCATTGATTTTTTTCATTGATTGATTCATTCTTTCATTCTCTAGTTAATCTTATTTTTAAAGAGCGTAGTCTGTGTTTTGGACTCGGAGGATGGAAAAGTGAATGATATAATCATGTGGGAGCACTCTCTCCTTGAACCCACACATGCTTCTGAATCCGGCACACAGTGCCAAGTGTCAGAGCAAGTTCCCCCTCGAACCCTGCTCGCTGTACTAACTGTTGGGAACTCAGTTCCTCCTTTATTCTCTGCTCGCTGTGTCGTTGTCAGGTCCACAGGTCCTGATCCTGCCCAACTATGCCAACTGTCAGGTCTGAGCCCCTCTGCCAGGGGGTGGACTTTCTTGGATGCCAGGTGGTAGATGAAGAAGCCATGAGACGTTGTGGATGTAGAAGAGAGTCTTTATTGTAAGAGCTAGTGGCCATGTAGCTATTGCTAACATGGCGGTCGCACATCCCCTCGCATTAAACTGGCACGTTATTGTACATAAGGAGTAGATACCTACCTCAACTATATACAAGGAGTAGATAATACCTACTCTATAATGTTGTAATGTGTTGAATAGTGCTAAACACAGATCTTGAAAAATAACATTGATAAATGGTAGCTATTATTTTTCTCTAGAATCAAAGTGTTTCAATTTTTCCCTTTCCCAGCTCACCTGAAAGATATGAAGCTTTCCTTTAAATAGCATTAGACAAAAAAGTTCTTCAAAGCAAAGTCCCATATAGCAGGTAGCCACACACTGCTACATGGGAAAGAGGAGTAGCAGTAGCAGCCTCTGTACACACAGCAGCAGCCTGCCTTTCATAGGAGCAGCCTCAGCAAGCAGCAGCACTGGCTGGTCAGTAACAACTTTATGTTACTTACACAAAGGAGGCTTCTTTCCAAATAGTGACCTCAGTCTTTGGGGTTATAGAAGGGCATGCTTGCCCAGTGTACATACAGATTACCATAGCCTTGCTCTTGCATCTGTGTACAGTCCTTGGAAACCCTGATTAAGATTCCCACACTCGGAGTGGCCTTGAACATCCAGCATACTCTGAATAGGGTCCCCACAAATCATTACCTTCAAATAAAGTCTAGAAACATTTGAATATTTTTTCTTGATTTTCCTACCTGTGACTCAAACATGGTAACATTTGACTGTTAGATACCATATACTGATTTTCTGGTTTTGACATCATTGTATGTACTTGAGTATGCTAATGGCAAATGAGTTGTTATGGTTCATGTAAGCAAACATTTTTCTATAAGCTAATTATGTGATTTTCAAAGTTTCTTTATCTTCCCAAGCCTCAACTGTATATGAGGAGTAGATAATACCTACTCATAATGTTGTAATATGTTGAATAGTGCTAAACACAGATCTTGAAAAATAACATTGATAAATGGTAGCTATTATTTTTCTCTAGAATCAAAGTGTTTCAACTTTTCCCTTCCCCAGCTCACCTGAAAGATATGAAGCTCTCCTTTAGATAGCAGTAGCTCATTGAAGTGTATGTACTACACCAGTCTAAATGTTCCATCATCACTCTAGGAAAAGTAGCAATTTCATTGTCATTTTGATTCTTTTTTCTTTCCCTCAACTCCTATTTGTTGTTTGAAAATGCAGCATATGTTCTCAGTATTCATTTTATCAAAACGAATGAATGCAAACAAAATAGTATACTGT